GTTAGATAATGTTCCCAGGGACACAAACCTAGTAAGTGTTTAAGGTAAAATTTGAATTGACATCTTCCTGTCTCCAAATCCAACAGCAATGGCAATAATATTTAACATCACTGAAAAATGATCACACAGTAATAATAATAATAATAATAATAATAATAATAATAATAACAATTGACATTTGGCTTTCAAGTTTACAAAGTGTTTTTTTTCCTGACGTCATCTCATTTGAGCTGCCTAGCATCCCATTTCATAGGGTTGCAGCAGATTACAAAGTCTGGCAGGACTTAGAACACAGGCTCAACAATAGACTTTGGTGTGTGTGAAGGCCAGCCTGGCTAAGATCAAAGAAATTCCTTACCAGAAGTTTGGCCCCCAGAGGATGAATCTTTTCTGGCAAAAGCAAGTCACAAAGTAGCCTATTAAGTGGTTGCAATATGGATTAGTGGGAAAAATGCCCACACTGAAGAGAGCTTGGTTCCTTCGGGTGAGGGGGAGGAAGGGGAATCTATATCTATATCCATACACATACATGCATATGCACACGAGTACTCACACATATAAATTGTTACATGCACATATATGTGCACATCTATAAGATAAATGCATGAAGTATGCATATATGTAATTGCAGTTATACATCTGTGCATATGTGTATGCACATAAATGCAGGTTATATGTATATGCCTATACATTTATATTGTATACATATATAGCACATTTACATAATGTATATTTTTATATTTTATTTGGTTGTTCTGCATCTTTAGTTCTTTTATTTTTTTTTATCAATCTTAAATTTTCCATTAGATAAAACCCTTGAAGTTAAGACGGATTCTGTTCATTAAAAAATTTAATTTCAATGAACAGATATTAATTTACTTTCCCTCACACCCCTTTGCAATGGAAAAAAAATGTAAAGCAATATGCTTGTGAAAAATGTTCAGTTAAGTAAAACAAATTCCCATTTGGCCATAGAAAAATGACTGTCTTGTTCTATACCTTGAGTCCATCACCTTTCTTGTCAGGAGGTGGATAGGTAGCATTTTTCATCATTGGTCCTTTGGAATCATGGTTGGTCATTGCGTTGATTAGAATTCTGAAGTCTTTCAGATTTGTTTGTCTTTACAATGTTGCTATTGTAATTATTCTCTTGGTTCTGCTCACTTCACTCATTATCAATTCACTCAGGTCTCTGAAACAATCTCTTATCATTTCTCATGGCTCATTAATATTCATTTGCCAACTTTGTTCAGCCATTGCCCAAATAATTAGTAGGATTAGTAATATTAACTAGTAATATTGATAGTAATTAATACTAATTAATAGTAATATTAAATAGTAAAAAATAGTAATAATTAGTAGAATCTTAATTTTCAGTTCTTTCCTACTATAAAAAGAGCTGTTATAAATATATTTTTATACGCACGAGTCCTTTTTCTCTGTCTTTGATCTCTTCGAGGTTTAAGCTTAGCAGTCGTAGATTCTATCAGTCAATATGGTTGATTATTTTGATCACTTCATTGGTTAAAAAAGTAATAAAATCTATTCTTCATTTTCAGGATCCTACTCTTCAAGTGTATTTGATCTTCATATATTTGGTTGGAGATGTTATGCCCTTCAGGAGAATTTTGGAAATCTAAAGCATTTATTATTCTTGAAAACTCCCTGGCCCTTAACTATCCTTCCAGCAAAGTGACTAAAGGAAGATTTTGCTTGATCTGAGCCAGCTGCTTCTCTCCTGTTTGAAAAGATCCATGATGTCACCACTGTGGGAATTCCCTCTACCAATAAGATTACAATGCTTCTATATTTCAATAATACCTTTCATGCATTGCAGTGATCAAAAATAAATTCATCACTTGATGGCCACCAACCTATGCTCCAGAGCTTCCTTTCTGCTGGGATAGCCTGAGAGAACTTAGTGTCACCTTTACGCCATGATATTGGAAGAGGACTTTGGTGGAAAGGAATGGCCACATAAGTCTTAAGTATTTTTGATTCATTGGGCTTCTGTCTTCTTTTCAAACCTAAGATGAGAATAATATTTTTTCATGAAACAAGTCTAGCATTAACATACTGTTGTGACTTTGGATATATATTTATCTATTCTCATGACCACGGGGATGAATAGTTCCAGAGAATAAACCCCTACTGTAGGAGATTAATAATTAGCAATTGACTTTTAATATCATAAACTTAAAGAATTCGCCATTGATGATGGATGTACCTATCTTCTAAACTTTAACTTTTGAATTCTTCAAAATGTAGTCAAGCGTGGACACTTGACCATTCTGCTTAGAAATTTATGCCATTACTTTCTGAATATCAGATCAGGATATTATTTGTCATTGCTAGTGATTCTTTTCTCATGGTGTCAAGATGGCACTGTTCCAGAAAAGTCATTCCAGTCTCCATTAGTTCTGAAGGAAAGGCTTTTCAATATTCTGCAGGGTGATTTCCAAATGACTCATGGAGTTTAAAGGTTACGCATCCTGTGATGATCAGACATGTTTGAAAAGCAAAATAAAAGGACTGTGTTGGTCAAATGAACACATCTGAATATGTCATCACTCAGAGGGAATCACATTCAACACCAGGAAACTACAAAGGGAATTACATGGACTTTTTCCTTTCCCTCCTGTTTACTTAAGGATATAAAATGACTACATTTTACACATTTGACATGACTGAGGATATTAAGTCAATGGAAGAAATCTGGCCACATGCTGAGGAAAAGCAGTGTTTCTGTACCTAAAAATTAAATATACAAAAAGAAGAAAAGGCCAGTTATATAAAACCTGCCAAAACACCTAAGCTCCTGGCATAGCGAACCCTGAAGTTATCAGATTTGAACCATGTTGGGAACACGTTCTCTTGGCCTGAAGAAAAATTGTGTATGATAGTTTATATGAAGGGACTGTCCTGTCCAGAGGGTGAATGTTTCAAGTTTCTTGCTTCTCAGCACTGACTAGACTCACCAAGAAGCTCAGAGGATGACCTCTTCACATAACAGCAGTCCTGGAACACTCATGGGGACTGCCCAATGCTGGATGAAGATTTCCACATATAAATCTCCGGTTGTTCCACATTTTAACGGGATATTCATAATGTATACAGTCAGGGTTTATTTGAGTCTCAACACTACTTAGTTCTAGTCAGTCTAGGCTTTAAAAAAAGCTCAGGTTATCATCTTTAGGCATGAGAAATTTTGGGTAAATCATCCTCAGTAATGTTCTAAAAATGAAAACGGTAACAATTGTTTATGCCATTTTCATTTTCTTTCTGGAGTTATTACATTAACACCAGCCCTGTAGCCACACTGCCTTCAGATCACATGTATACACTAGTAACTTAAGAGGCTGCAGTAATACATTCCATATCCTAACCTGGATATCTTTTATTTTTCCTTTGTACACTTGGTTTTGTATAAGTTTTCCTGCTCTCACAGAAAGAAAGAAAACAGAGACCATCTACATGTTTGTTGGCTCGCTTATTATTTCTTTCTGATAGAGCAGTGGTAGAATTTGTAGCAGAAACCAAGGGTGTGAGTCTCAGTCTGGTGTCTAAATAATTTTCCTTAAAGTCAAAATTCTCACGTCTATGATTCCTGGTTTTGTAACTGCCTACTTGGGGGGAATCAGCTTAATTGTTCTGTGCCTCGGTTTTCCTTTCCATAAAAAGAGGATAATGATTCTGGCATATATCCTGAAGAATGAATGACTAATTAACTTAAAGAAATGCATTGTCGAAGTTGAACTACTTAATTGCAGTATGCTATTCATTAACAAGGAGAGACCTGAAAAATTCTCTAGGAGTTTATTGGAAGTAAAAATAGTTTGTTCAGTTTGATACGGCAATGACTGTTCTCATTTGAAAGTTGTGTCTATACTTTCAAATGGAGTGGCGAACTTTTACAATCATCCATTTCACGTCTATGTATTATTTGCTAATTGTCTTGATTCTCCACTTTTCTTTATAGAGGTATGCTGAGCCCAAATGTAATCTTGGTCATTCAGAATCTTAATTCAGGCAGAGTGGTCAATCAAGGATTCCTGTGTAGGATATAGCTCTCTTGCTGCTTATAGTCAGCCCAAGATTGATAAGAATTGATCCTTTAAATATAGTTATGCTGAAATGATGTTATGATAATAGACTAATTTAAACCCAAACTATCTTTAGGAAAGGTTTGTGACTTTTGGCAAATTATGTATGAATCTCATTAACAACTTTAGAATTTTGTATATATAACCAAAAACTTGGGGCCGGGTACCCTGGAGAAAAGTTGGAGGATAAAAGAATGGGGGAACAAGGGAGAGTATGAAAATATATGTACCTATTGATGTAGGCAATGATTAAAGGGATGGGAAGGCCAGGGAATCCAGACCTCCCACCCCAGAAAAGAAGCATTCCTAGGGCCGTGGAGCCATCCACATTGGGGGTGGGGGAGAAAGAGCAGGACAGAGAGGCACACATTTTGAGTGGCTTTGCCATAAAGCTTCGTCTTTCATCCACTAATGCCTCTTTCTTCCCACTCAAACCCTCAAAGCTTACAGTTTTATACCCCACTAATTGTGCAACAGGAGGGAATTTTTGTCAGCTACCACACAGAGGCTGGGGGAAGGGCTTAGCAACAGCTCTGAGAGTGCTTGAAAGGCTCTCATATATAAGTATGACTTAGCTAAGTTGGAAGGGAAGGAATGGGAAGGGTTTTTTTTTTTCCCTTGAGCTCAGGTAGAGATTCTATTTGCGTCCTTCTTGGCAGAAAATATGGGATAATAGTAACATGGAGAACTTGAGAACCTATACTTATAATATTGCTCTCTTTTCTAGTGTAGTGTCTGAAAGAACTCTGGATCCTTCTCTGCAAACAGGGTGAATTTAGTCCCCTTGTCATTATTGTGAATGAATTGTTGTGTACCGAGATATAATTCTGAAGGGAAAGAGAGGGAAGGAATAAATGTTGTCAGCATTTGGCTACTTTTTTCCTTTGCTTCCAACAGATAATTTCTCTGGGTTGGAGACAGATACAGCAATACCCACGGAAGAAGCTTATGTTGTGTATGATGAAGGTAATAACAGACTGAAGATTTTATATGAATGAAGTTAATTCCCATCAAAGGACCTTTTGAAATTAGGAAGCAGAGATAACTTTTCACCTTGCATTTGTGATTTCACTCATATCTTTGTCTTTTTGCCTCCCCTCCCCCCATCTGTAGAAACTCTTTGCGTAGTTAACTTTTTTGAATCATAATGTCCTTTTTCCATTGCTCTTCCTTTTCTTCCTCTCCTTGTCGTTTTTCATAAAATCTTTTCCACTATGGATGTCATGAATCTTTAGCCACAGGATCATATTATTAGGACAGGGTACCACATAATTATGAGTTTCCATCTTTACAACATAGTGGAGTTGTACTTATTAGACGTAGACTTAAAAGTTTAAACAGTGCAACAATAAACTTGTAGTCATAGCAGGATGTATGTCCATTGGCATTTACCAGTAGCCAAAAAGGGTGTCCTCCTCAAGGAAGCCCTTCTAACTTCCTTTGCCCTTCAGATTAATTAACTTTTACATCAAACTGTCTCAAAACACAAAATGCTTCAGGAGTGCCATCCTTTTTTTTTTTAACCTAGTTGTAATCAAGTTTCATGTAGTGGTTCCAATCCTAGCTGTTTCAGGCTAAACTTGACTAATAAAAACACACACATTGTTTCAAACAGGTATTTGAAAGCAAAGAAAGATGTTTTATCAGCAATGAAAACATTAAGTATCTTTTTAACTATCTACATGCGGCTGAGATAATTAAGCATAATGTCATCTTTAAATACAAACAAATTACGACTCTCCTGCTCCCCATATGCAAACCACATAAAGAATGCAATCTTACGTTCCATTGTGGTCCTTCATGGACTGCAGAAGGGAGATATATTTAGTGAAATGAGCTGGAAGAGCATTGGAATGGGGCCTCATAGATTTCAGTTCCAGTTTTGGATAGCTAGCTGTGTGACCTTAGGCAAGTCATACAACTTCTCCAGGCCTTAATTTCCTCTTCTGTAATATCAGATGATTTTGAAGGTTCCTTCCTGCTTTAACACCCTGCTACTCTAAAACCTCAGCACTTCCTTCTCTGTTTCTACGTAATACAGGTAGATGCGTTTGCTTCTTTTGTTGACCATTGTTAGAGGTGGGCAATGGGAAGAAATGAAGCAGAGGGAATTAAGACACTTTTATAGAAGGGTTGAAGAGCAAATTACATTTGAACAAGTAGTAAAAAAAATGACTGCATTTATTCATTTCATATTCTATATACCTGTTGGATGAAAAGAAATTGTTTTGAAGTAGAATTAATTTTTTTAAAAATAAAAAATAAAAACAGTGCCAGTTTACCAGGCTACAAACATAGAGTCCTCTTCAGGCAAATGCCCTATTACAAAACCTTATATCTTTTTCAGATTATGAATTTGAAACCACATTGCCTCCAACCACTACCAAGTCCTCAACTACTACAATAGCTGTACCAAAAGTCATCTCACCAGAGGGGTCAATCAGTTCTTTTCCAGAGGAAGAATTTGATCTGGCTGGAAAGAAACGATTTGTTGGTAAATTTGCTTTCCTTAATAGAATGCATATGGTCACATGGCTCTTTTTTAAAAAATTACACTGTTTAGTTCCTTAAGTCCCAATCATAACGCTGATTTCTTATCCTAGCTACAGCTGTGCACTTTGATGGGCTTTTTCCCAGACAAACATTTCCCAGCTGTAATAAGTGACTCATTTCTGCTCAGGTGCCCGTGAACTATCTCTAGAGTCTGAAAATAAGTAAGGGAAGAAGAGAATGTAGTTTAGAAATGATTGGCTTTTTAGACCAAACCTAATTTTCCCCTCTTAAGATAGCAGATCAAAAATAGCAACCTGAAGAGTTCTTATATACCAGACTTTAACAAGACAAACATTTCAAAAAATGACATTTTTTCCCACTGAGGGTTGTCTAAATATTGTTTTAGAAATATGTCCTAAAAGATTTAATACTTTAACATTTGCAACAATAGCATTTTGATAGTGTTTTAAGATTTGCAAGGCATTTTACATGTTAGCATATTTGATCCTCATAACAGCCCTGTGAGCTAAGTGCTGTTATTATCTTTGTTTTACAGAGAAGAAATCTGGGGCAGCTAGGTAGCACAGTGGATAAAGGGCTGGGCCTGGAGTTAGGAAAACTCATCTCCCCTAGCTCAAATCTGGCCTCAGACACTTACTGGCTATGTGACCCTGGGCAAGTCACTTAACCCTGTTTGCCTCAGTTTCTTCATCTGTCAAATGAGCTGGAGAAGGAAATGGCCAACCTCTCCAGTATCTCTGCCAAGAAAACACTAAATGGGGTCACGAAGAGCCAGCCATGACTGAAAGACCGACCAACAGCAAGTTTTCACCTTGGCAGGTGTCTGAGGCAGGATTTGAACTCGGGTCTTTGTGACTGTTAAAAACTTGACCATCTATCCATGCACTACCTAGCTACCTCTTCTACTGCATTTACTGCCATTTGCTGGATGGAGTCACTAGTAGTTATTAACTGAGAACAGCAGCGCAAAATCTTTGAGTTTTTAAATCCATAGGAATATAAATTTAAAGTTAAAAGTGACCCTAGTAGCACTCTGAGGAGATTGTCACCTGGCCAGAGTCATACAATTGATAAATATCACCAAAGTGGAGTGTGATGACTTCGAAGTCATAGCTCTTGAGTCAGCTAGGTGGCTCAGTGAATAGAACTCTGGCCTTGGGGTCAAGAGGACCTAAGTTCAAATGCAGCTTCAGACACTTAACCTTATTAGCTGTGTGACCCTGGGCAAGTCACTTAACCCCTATCCCCCCACCAAAAAAAAAAAAGCAAAAAAGCAGAGTCATAGCTCTTTCCAATATATCATGATATTCCTTGTTAATTCTCCATCTCTTTAGAGACTGAAAGATTGGAACCTCTCTTTGGGGAGGAAAAAAAAAACCAACCGCCCTTAAAATAGGGAGTTTACACTTCCTATTGCAATGTAATTTGTTGCTGCAATCAGTCATTAAATCTCCCCTAATGAACTAATTACTCACTAACTACTTTATCTTAGTTCATATATTACTAAGGAGAGAGAAGTGAACAGCTTAGCTAAGATCATGCTTTTCTGTTTCCAAAACAGTGTTCAGTGGTGAACTGAGGACAGCTTTGGCCATCCAAGACTCTGTTACTGCAGATCAAAACCACACTTCCTTGAATAGCAAGAATCTTAATTTGACTTAACATTCCCGAGGAAAACTGTAATATTTTTCTCATTATTGCTCCAGCCCCACCAGATTTACTTAAAATGACTTCCTTTTCTCCCCAAACTTTCACAACAAAAATTGAAATCCACTGAGCACTGTTATCTAACTCACTGAAGTCCTTAAGTACTAAGAGACTCTTTTGCCTGGATGTTTTCAAAGCAGAATTAACTCCGAGAATGTTCTTGATTGTATTTATGAATTGTGTTTATTTTAAAAACTGGACAATAGAAAATAATTGAAAATGGAGTCAGGGAAAGTATGAATGCCATTCAGTACAGAAAACTTGCACTGAGAGAGGGAATCAGAAAGAAAGTAATTAGCAAGTAATGTAATTGTAAATTCATAGGATGATGGATCTCGAGCTGAAAGGGCCCTCAGAGGCCACCTAATCTAACCTGTCATTTCACAGATGAGGAAACTTAGATTCAGGGAGACTTGCCCAAAGTTACATAGGTAGTAAGTGACCAAAGTGAGATTTTAACCCATGTCATCTGATTAAGAAATGCAGCATTCCTTCTCCTACACAATGCTATCCTCCAAGGCATTCTGAGAAATGAACTCGGGCAGGAAAACAATAGATAAGTAAGTGAGAGTCTTGTTTGACTCATTTCTTTTTCAAATTCAGAACAGAACTGACTACGTGAGAAATGGCAAAAATATTTTGGCCTAATCCTGCACTTGTTTTTAAATACTGAAATGGCTATGCCTGCCCAGGTGATTAAGCAAGACATCACTTGACTGCTTTAGAAATCTTTGAGAAAGATCTGTCAGGTTTGGTAAAAGCCATTAGGTCTTTTGTGGTAATGATAAACTATCGTGAAGATTTTAGGTAAATTGATTGATGACCGATCCATAAGAGGTTATTAAGCATCATTAGAAACACGTAAGATCCATCCTTAACTTTTGAGTACAATGACTGGGAACAAGAGACTTCAGGACGGGTACGTTCTGTTCTGGCCAGAATCTTTAAGGGTCTTCCTCTTTCAGATGGATGTTCTTTGTGATGGGAAATCAGGCCATCTGTTGTCTCAATTCTTAGCTAGCCCTTAGTCACTGAATGTGCATCGCCTCAGACAAACTGAGGCCTGAGAAAGACCTTGATTTAGAAAGGCCAAAGTGATCCACTGCATCCTGGGCAATCATCAGTCGTGCTGGCCTTGGTCTCGCCACTGGACTTTGATGACTGTGGAGGAGAGAGGGAGGCTGATGACTTTGTGTAACTCTGCCTCATTCAAATACAGTCCAAGTGCAGCTCAAGACATCATCCCATGATGTCATCCGTCCTCTTTGAAAACAAAGGACTGACAACAGCAACAACCAGGCTTGATCAGAAACAGGGTGACAGTGCCCAAGTGGATTCTTGTTTTATTTTTTGATGACCATACCAGAGGTTTCACTCATACAGGAAGCTCTGGTAGGGAGCTTCATTTATCAATGCAGTTTGGCTCCTCTTCACCTCATCATCTTAGTTGCCTGGGGCACTAATATCTTGAGTCATTTGCTGAGCGTCACACAGCCAGCTCTTGTCATTTATATGACTTCCCTGTGTTTATGGCAGACAAAGGCCTTCAGTCATCTGATTGTATATCTTTTTTTTTTTATTCCAGCTCCTTATGTGACCTATCTAAATAAAGACCCACTGGCTCCATGTTCTTTGACGGAAGCTCTGGACCACTTCCAAGTGGACAGTTTGGATGAAATCATTCCCAGTGACCTGACGAAGAGTGACTCACCTCCTCAGCATGCTCCCCGAAACATCACCGTGGTGGCTGTGGAAGGGTGCCACTCCTTCGTTATTGTTGACTGGGACAAATCCACTCAGGGGGATGTGGTTACAGGTGGGTCAGATGGAACTTGCTTGGTGTCCAGACCAGTGCTCTGTACTGAGGAATAGATTCTGAATGAAGGAATGAGGGCAGGAAGGCAGAAGGCTTGTAAATGGGAATGAAATCCTAGAAAGGGCTCAGTTTAATGCCTGAGTCATTTGAGCTTTTTTCAGCTTCTCCTATTACAGTTGCTTGTTACAAACAAATGCTTCAGGACCCCAAGCTTCTTGGCTGCTCTACTGGTTTCTCTCTTTGGTTCATGAAATCTTGGCCAAAATTCAATGCGAATATAAATTCACTCACAAAACCTCTTGCTAGGACTTAATTTAAAATTGTTGATTAATATTCATTAGTGATTTTAGCCTATAATGCTGTTTCTTTGTCTTATCTGTACTTAGCTTAGGTATATTGGGACTATATTTGTCTCATAGAAGAGGTATTATGTAAATTCTTTCAAAAGAGGATTGATACTTGGGCATCCCTTCCTCTGGACAGTTCCATACTGGACAATTTGTTTTTTTCCTGATGGGTACGTGATGGGGAAAGGGAGACAAATGAAGTTTAAAATGGTATCTTTTCCTTTTTGTTAGTGCTATTGATAAAAAGTCTCAAATTTTAAAATTTAAAATTTGCTATTTATTTCTAATTTTAGCTCTCAAAAAAGAAAAGAACATTTCCAGAAGGATCCAGGATAATAATTCCATTCTGGAATTTATACACTTGCCCACAGAATATCATTTGTGATCCTGGAAAAAAAGGCCAAACTGCTGAGTCAGGGTAGAGAGTCTAAATCCCACAGGGATATATGACCTGGAGAAGAGAAGACTTGGCAGGGTGGGAAGGACATGATAGCCGTCTTCAAGTATTTGAAGATAGGGAATAGGGATAGGAATTGTTTTTCTTGGCCCCAGATGGTGGAACTTAGAGCAATGAGTGAAAGTGGCAGGAAGACAGATTTAGCATCTTTGTAAGGAACATAACAATTATACAACAGGGGGGTGGACTCCACTGAGATGTGATAGGTTCTGCCTCACTCTAGGGTCTTCCAATGAAGGGTGTATGACCACTTGTTGGGGGGTATTGTAGAAAGAATTCTGAGTAAGGCACATAATCTACTAGTTGGCCTCTCAGCTCTTGGGTTCTATGATTCTCTGATGATGGAAAAGCATAATACATAAAACTTGATTTTTAACTCTGACATAGTCATTAATTGTATGTGTGACTTTGGGTATGTCCTTTTAACTCTGTGGACTGCAGACTCAGTTTGAATTCTTAAATGTTTGCTGGCACATATCTGCTTTGAGGTCCCCGATTTTTGTTTTTTATTTCCAAATAAATGAATGGATTTGTATATGCTTGGGCACTAGACATTTCACTCTGGACTGACTGTTGAACCTAGAAAGCTGTAGGTTGGGACAATAGGGAACAGTACTATGGTACTTACCAAACCATCTAAAACCATCTCTAGTATTTTTGCTGTTGGCGTTTAAGATTATGGATCTAAAAGTGGAAGAGACCTTATAAATGACATCTGGGTTGAATCATAGAAGCCTCTAACAAACTGTAAAGAGTGTATATTAAATGTAGGGAAAAGAGCTTGGCTCTGGGTTCAAGTCCTGGCTATGAGACCTCAGAAGAGCTACATGAACTGATGCAGAGTGAAGTAAACAGAGCAAATATATACAATAACTACAACAATGTAAATGGAAAGACCCATGCATACAAAAAATCAAAAGTGAATGTAACAAAATTCTAAATATTAAGCATGACTTGAATGAAGAGAGATAAGACACCCCTCAGCCCACCCTTTTGTGGAGGTGGGAGGTTCACAGGTGTTACACATTCCACGTGGTTTTTTTTGAAGTTTTTCAATGTATCAATCAATTGTGCTGATTTATTTTCCTCTTTGAAAAATATTCTTTGTTATATGAGATGGCTCTTTGGGACAGTCTAGGGGAAGGATACTGGGAATAACTATGATGATATAAGAAATAAGACATCAATCAAAACTTTTTTTTAAAAAAACAAACCTATAGATAGTAAAGATTTGAACAGAAGTCATTCTCTGACTCCAGAGTTTCTTTCCACTGCACCATGCAGGCCTCTGATGTTTTTTTCTTTGTCACAAAAATATCATTTTGCTAGAAAGCCACCATCTCAAAACCAAAACTCCTGCTGGCTTTCCCTACTGCCTCCTGGCTGCACATAGGACCTTGTCCCATTGGCTTAGCAAAGCCTCAGACTGTGATTAACGTAATTGTGATTGATTGGTTTTTCCTTCTTTGCTTTCACAGGTTACTTGGTTTATAGTGCATCTTATGAAGATTTCATCAGGAACAAGTGGTCCGCCCAGAGTTCAGGGGTTACTCATTTACCTATTGAGAACCTCAAACCAAATACAAGGTATGACGATGCTAGTCACACAATACAAAAAAGACTGAGATGATGCTATTTGCATGGTCAGTTACGTGTCACACTAATGTCACAAGCATTACCTAAAGAATCTTTTAAGTTAAGGAGCAAAATACCATACATTTAAATGGAAACTGAAGCTAATGCTGTTATTTTATTTATATTTTCATACTTAGCTTTCCAAATGTGAACTAAATAATTACTATCAATTGAGTTCAGTGGGTTAAAAAGGAAGGAATGGATTGTTTTTAGAATACCCCTGAAATTATAGTGGTATTGGGCGGCCAAAACTCTACCCTCATTCATAAAAATGAACTCATTTAAGTAGTCATTTTCCATACATTTTGAACAATCAGTGTTCAAGTTTTGATTTTTCTCTGATTTATAATCATAGTATAATAGAGCAAGAGCTTCTAAGGGACCTCAGAAGTCATTCAGTTCAGCATCCTCATTATACAATTGAGGAAATTGAGGGCAAAGAAGAATAAGTGATTTGCTCAATGTAACACAATTGTTAAACAGCTGAGCTTGAATTTTAACTTGGCTCTTTCGACTCTTGGGGCAGCTAGGTAGGGTAGTGGATAGAGTGCCAGACCTGGGGTCAAGAAGACTCATCTTCCTGATTTCAAATCTGGTCTCAGACACTTATTAGCAGTGTGACCCTGGGCAAGTCACTTCACCCTGTTTGCCTCAGTTTTCTCATCTGTAAAATGAACTGGACAAGGAAATGTCAAACCACTCCATACTTGGAAGATACTCTTCCAAGAAAAGCCCAAATGGGGTCACAAAGACTGTTAAACAACAACAACTACAACTACTACTACTACTACTACTACTTGTAACTCTAAGTTAAATATGCTTTCCACTTTTTGAAATGCAAAAATTGAATCCTTTCCCATGTATTTTGGAAGTTTTAGGTATGTCTTCCAAGTCCTGGACTTTGAAAATGGTGGAATTATCATTCTGACACTAATAAATTATCATGTCATCTTGGATAAACTGGAGAGAAACATTTTACTTCGTGCCTTTCTGCCAACAGTTATTCCCCTTCAAAAAGTGAAATCTGTTCACTGATTGACCACAGCTGCATTCACAGGGACAAGTGGGGTGTGCAGAACACAAATTCCATCAGGAAGTCAGCTTCTAAAGCAGTGTGGGGAGGAAGATGAATGGGAGTTAGAGCATTTACACAAGCCCAAGACAGGGCCTGTTACACTTTGTAGGGATATATATGTTACTATATAGAAGAACATGACAAAAGGACAGGCACAGGAGGGTTAACTGATTTTCCAGGTAAGGCTAGGGAGCCATGTGATAGCAGCAGAGTCTGAAGGGAGTCTGAAGGGCAGCGGCAGCAGCATAGAAGATGCTTATTTGCTCAAGTATTGTTGGAAGAAGGTAGATTTTTTGAGTCTGTCTCATGCAGTTGACAGGTCTCGCTGACTTTCGTTAAAAAAAATGATAACTTAGGAGCATCTCCCGCATGCTTAGCCAAATATACCCTCGAAATAAGTGGGACAAAATATTAAAGTTGAGCACTATTAGAGGTATACTATAATGAGGATTTTTTAAACAAACCAACCAGAATTTATATATCCAAATAAACATTATCATTTAAGTTGTCACCTTGGGAAACCATAAGCATACTCCAGTTTTCCTGACTTTATTCAAAATGATTTTAGAATTACTTTCAAAGTATCTTCAGAAAAGCACACATACATACACCATTAGTCTTGTATTTTAGTGTGTGGGGAAGTCCCCATCACAAAAGGGGGCCCCTGAAAAGCTAAATCAGGTGCAAGGTACCCTAGGAGTCAGTATCCAGTCAAAATCTTAGCTCATGAACCCTCAACAATAAGTTTGCTCTTACTAGCTAGTCAGAAGACACAATGAATTCAAAGCAAAGGTGCTTAATGAAATAATATAGTAAGAAAAGTAGCAATGGAACATTCCTCCTGTAAACCTGGAGGACATGCTTCCACAAATCCAACTCAAAAAACATTACTTAAGTACCTGCTAGGCAGTGTGCTAAATTCTGCGGATACAATTAATAAAAAGAAAGACAGTTCCTGTCCTCAAAAAGCTTACAGTCTAAAGGAAGAAATAATATACAGTGGGGTGGGGAGGAATGAGATACCACAAGGTATGTGTGTGGAAGCTTCTTGTTTTGTGGAGTTGAAACTAGACAGGGCAGCAGGTGCAAAGTGGAGTAAGCTAAGAGTCCAGTTTCTAGCCTCTGTAAAGGAAAGCATTGGGGAAAATTTGGTACTCAGTACTCCACACCTCTAATCAGAGGGGAAAGGATGCTGAGGGAGGTGGTTTCAATTAGGACTCCAGTTAGCAGCATGGTGGTGAGTTTGGAAGTGATGAGCTCACCCTGGGTAGTTGGTGTTGTTGTTCAGACTTTGCAGTCGTGTCTGACTCTTCATGACCCCATTTGGATTTTTCTTGGTAAAGATACTGAAGTGGTTTGCCATTTCCTTCTCCAGCTCATTTGACAGACGAGGAAACTGAGACAAACAGGGTTAAGTGACTTGCCCAGAGTCATGTCTAAGGCCAGATTTGAACTTGGAAAGAGGAGTCTTTCTGACTCCAGACCCAGTGCTCTATCATCTGTGCCATCTAGTTGCCCCTCCTGGGCGGGGCAGTTTGTTCTACGGTGTTGAAACCGTGTGGCGTTGAAACCAGACAGGGCAGCAGATGCAAAGGGGAGTGAATTCTCTGCTACCACCACTGGTTGTTGTCTTTATTGGGCGTTCTTGTTCTCTGCCTCTATCTCCACTTCTGTGTTTCTTTCCCTCTCCCTCTCTGCCTCTATGTCTTTCTCTATCTCTTGTCTCTCCTCCCAATCCTTCCACCACAAATGTCAGTCCATTGAGTGTGTTACTCCACTAGAAATGTGGTTGTTTTGGGGCCTTGTTCCCTACTACCAGCATATGACCTTCAGTTCAGGTCCACTTGCCATCTATCTTAGCTCTGATCTGCTAGTTTATGGAGAATAGAAAATCTGTCCTTGAGAAAGGTGGGCTAATAGTCCTTCCATTATAGATGGAGGCTATGAACCATCACATGTAGCAAACAAAATCCAGAGTGCCTCTAGGCTAAATAAAACTATTCTTTTAAGTCCTGTTTCTAAGTCTGAGATCTGAGAACTTTGTTGCTGACAGCTATCTGACTCTGAGTTAGAAATTCCCAAGCTCCTCTCTGGCTTTACACACAAATGAATCTGAGTCAGAACAAAAGGTAATCAAAGGAGGCAAGCTCTTTAGCTTGACCCACTTGGTCCTCATTTCAAACTTTATCATGTAGATAATATGCCAACAGCAAAATTCATTTCTTTGGTGACATATTTTGGGCAGCAAAACACCTCACTATCTCCCTTATTATTTTTTAGTAACACCTCCTTTTGACTTTAAATGGTGTCACATATTTTGTTCCAAATTGTTTTTGGCTTTTTCCAGAAAACAAATACACCCTCAGAAGATTAAGATTTTTCAGCATTTAGGGTATTAAGAGGAATATACTATAGATTCATAGTGAAAGAGGAAACATTAGTATCTCTTTGTGGCAGGGGAGAGGCAGAGAGTAAACATGTGGTTGAGAACTTTATGAAATATTTGTTTTATTTGATAGAGGAAAGTGTGGTACATGGTTTTTAAAATAGGAATAACATTTTTGCATCATTTCACATGGCTTTTCATCTCAGCATTTTAAATTTATGTTGCCATGTTAGGCAAAATCAGAAATGAAATATATAGTTGCTTAATTTGTATCTGGAATATATGAGCTTTGTGGTAGGCTAGAAACATGGGGTACAAGGGGAAGGTTTATCTTGAGTACTAACTCAGTTTCAGTGGCAAAACAATATAAAGAAAGAAATTGGAGTGGTTTATTTTAGAATATTAGTCATCTCTTTTCATATACCCTTAGTTATATAGCATCAATTCCCTTCCACTGGGGCTAAGTGATTGTTATTGAGTTGGCTTTAACTCTGAGTTTTAAAGTTATTTCTTTAAAATCCCACATTTAGTATTGGCTTTCTAAAGACACTATTCAGCAGAGACATCTTTAACAGCCTTTGTGTATATTTATGTGGGTTTCTTATTTTTTAATTCTTTTTAAAAAATACTAGGTTAACATGGACTGTTATCATTTGTGTATGCCAAAGCCACAGCTCACACTGACTACATATTGTTGCCTTAAATAACTCCATCACCATTGAATAGAAGTATGCATAATTCGGAAAATGCAAACTACTTGGATGATCTGAACCTAGGAAACCCATGTGTTCTCAATTGTGCATGTATCTGTTTCTCCTTAAGTGAATAAAAGACCTTTCTTAAATGAGATGTGAATGACTTTATTGAGAGTTTTGAAAGGAGAACAATCGCACTGTCAAACAGGCTTTTCTTTTCTCTCTGTTTAACCATGGTGAAATTAAGAAATCTCTGTAGTGCATGAGTAGGGAGAGACATAGTGGTCCTCAGCTATATAGAATTATGACTTGGTCACAGAACTATTTCTGTGTCTAAATACATGTAATTTGGCTTTCTTTTTATTTACCAGTTTCAAGTTTGATTTTTGGTTTTTGTCCTAGAGTTAACTAGGGCAGCGAGGTGGCATCATGGTTAGAGTGCCGAGTCTGGAGTCAAGAAGACTCATCTCTCTGAATTCAAATGTGGCCTCAGACACTTACTAGCTATGTGACCCTGGTCAAGTCACTGTTTGACTCACTTTCCCAGTCTGTAAAATGATCTGGAGAAGGAAATGGCAAATCACTCCACTATCTTTGCCAAGAAAACTGGGAGAGTCATGAAGAGTCAGACACAACTGAAACAACTGAACAACAATAACAAAGAGCTGAAGTATAGGCTTAGATTCATTAGCTTTCCAGACTAACCAGAGTGACAGCCTATATCAGTCTGGTGGTTATACCATGGAAATCAAACCTGACTGCAGTTCCTATGGTGTTTTACAAGACGGCAGTTTAATTAGAAGGGGAAGAAAGCCACCCCGTATCACTCTGAAATATGGTGAGGCCTCTACAATTCTCTGGTGAGGGCCAGAAATATGCCCTCTTGTGAGCTTTTCAGAATGGTAAAGGCTTACTACTGACAGGTATCTTTAACTTCATTCTGCTATCTGGGGCCCAGCTCCCTCCCAACTTCTCACAAATGGCCTGCTCGCTGGGGAGGATTTAGGGTCTGGAATGCCAGCAGAGTGAAAAAGTAGAAATGGAAGGGCAGAGGTGAAGTGGATTATTATTGCTATGTGATGTTTCTAGTTATGATATTGTTGTTTTAACCTGAGAGGCAGAATAGAGGCTGATCTTGGAATTAAATAATCCGAATTTAATGCTTTACCCTGACATTTGTTACATGTGACTGTGGGCAAGTCACTTAACTAACATTCGAGTGCCCTGGGCAACTCTTTTAGATTTTAAGGTTCATATGTGTAGAGAGTTTCCAAAGTGCAGGTCTCAATACCATATTACAGCTCTAGACAAAAAACAAACAAACAAAAAAACCCAAAAATCCTAGTATTATTTTCTAAGAACGTGATATTCTACTACATGAAAGAGTAGACTCCCAATCCTCTTGGCTGACCAGCCTCTTTTCCTGTGAGATGGCTCAAATGGTGTACTTACTAACTTGCTGTAAGGTCCAAGTCAGAATATGATCCCAAAGCTATGCTGATTTCTCCAGGCCTTTTCCATATCTCCTTTCTTGGGATTGCTTGTCTTCCTTCCAGAAATTTAGTCCATGTCACAGGGAAATTTAGACCATCCAATCTCAGACTTTTAAGCCAGCCATCCTCCCAATGGCCTTCCAATATTATTCTAATGTTAGTTCCACTTAGGAAGCCAACTTTTGTGAATTTCTCACCCTTAGTCCTGCCTACAAATGGGTCATATGAGTTGAGTCATTTCTGAATTGAAATCCTTCTTTTCATATAAACTTTAATGGCAGAAATTAAGATAAGATTCAATTGATAGATTTCTTTATGAAAAGAAATTTAAATGGCTTATAATGGTGATAGCATGAATTCTTAAAATTAAATTTGTTTTCATTGCTAGCTAGGCAAATTTATAAAGCAACTATAATTCTTTTTTAAAAATAATTATATATATATATGTACATGTACATATGCATATATACATATACACATATAGGTATATATATATACATATATATACATATATACACATACACACACACACACACACACCCCCATACATACATAACAAAACACAAAGAAATTCCTGACTTACGTTAAGGAAAATTTGCAGAGAAGTGACCAATTTGCAGATTCAATTCACTAACATTTTTCTGGTATCTATTATATGCCAGAAAATGTGCTGGGCACATTTAATTTTAGAAGGGCAAAAGAGCCCACCCAAATGTTATCTGTCTCTCTAGGAGAACTGAGAAGAGGATAAAATTAATAAGTATTGCTTGCTTTGGTCCTAGGGAGGTACCATTTCTACAGTGGTATTTCCTTGAAAATTGGCTTTGATGTGTAACTCTCATAGAAATAGAAAGGAGAGTGTATGGGTTGGAGGAAGGTAGGATTTACTAAGCAGAATTAAGCCTGAAACAAATTGACAGAAATTATTCTTTCTCGACTTAGTCTCCAATTTTAGATTTGGCCGGTTTGAGAGCATTAAATGAGAAAATAAATGTAAATCAGATTATACTTAGATTTTATATGCCTGTTACATTTCTGCAACTGAATTAGCCCTTTCCCTTAGGCCTGTTGAAGAAGTCACAAAAGTCATGGGAGTATTTCTGCCCCCCCCATGTCCCTTCGCCTACAATATAGACATCCCTGAAAGATATTTTAATAATTCAGGACAAGTTTGCAAGACAAGTAGCCAGAGTGTTTCTCTTATCTTTTTACCCGTTCCATACAAATCACTTCTGAGGAAAGAAGCTTCTTTGACCAGTCACATAGAATTGTTGAATCTTAGCACTAAGGAAATTTAGAGATAATCTCACCCAACCCTTCTGTATTAAAGATGATTGAAGTCTGGGAAGAAGTGACACACAGTTAAGTTAATGGCCGAGTTGGGACCAGACACAGTTTACTAGACTTCTGGGCTATCGTCAGTTCCACCCAATGCCCTCCAACTATACCATGCTGTCCTCATTTTCTTCTTGACGTGTTCAGAGAAATTAATTGTTATTTCTCCCTCAGTAAAACATTCCAGTGCATGGTGACCCTTTCATATCCAATCTAAACCACCCCTTGCAGTATTTTGGTTATTTCCTCTATTTCTGCCCATGGTTAAAGCAAACTTCTCTGTATCTTTATCCATTAAATGGCTGCTCACATATTTGCTTAAACCTTATGTTCTTCATGCTTATCAGAGTTGGAGCTAGAGGATGGACAATATAGACAGTTGCCTAGGGCACTATACATGTGAGGATACAACTGGGAACATTATTCATATTACAGTTTACAATTATACCTATTTTTAATACTACAAAATTCCACTCTCTGTGGCACATGGATATTAATTTTTTTTTTTAATAAATCAAGTGTTAGAGTAAAGGCTGAAATTCTGTGGCAACATAGCAGGCACTTAATAAATGTTTATTGGGTTGAAATAGGACACAATTTTCAAATGGTGAGTTTCAGAGCAGGGAGAGGGACATACAAATGCCTTGTTCCAACCCTGTTGTGCATCCATCATAGGCTTTCATCATGGGCCTTCTTTTTCCACGTCTTTAATCATTTTGTATCTCTCCTCTAATCCTCTCCAAGTTCTTTACATCTTTCTTTAGTTGTGGAATTCAACCACTATTGAGTGTAAGTCAGAATTTGCTCATGGAAGGTTTGTAGTTAAGAATTTTGACTTGAGGAAGCCAACTCAATTCAGAAAACATATATCTTAAGTAACTCGTGCAACATCTGTCTCTGGAAATAATGAAACCCTCCAAATAATTACAGAATCACAGAATTTTAGAGCTAGAAGTGACCTTAATATACTTGTCTGTTTTTCTTCCCTGATTTCTTTTTGGTGTGGTACCTTTATTCATTAACAATTGCATTTGTAACAATTAGTCACATTTATGTTGGAGTATGTGTTAGCTATATTATTTTTCAAAATAGTTTGAAAACAATTCTAAGAGAATCCCTACATCAGTAGTATTTACCATTGGCAAGTGACTTCTATCTTTAATATAAGTAATTGGTATGCTTAGATTATAAATACTGCTCAGCAAATAAAGTGAAATAAAATTTTTGTATTTTAGATATTATTTTAAAGTACAAGCAAAAAATCCCTATGGTTATGGACCTATCAGTCCTTCAGTCTCTTTTGTTACAGAATCAGGTATGTATTATTATATATTTTGGATTTCTTTTTCTTTTTAAAAAATCATTTTTTGATTTAATGTTTTTAAATTACCTGCATTTCCCAATGTAGCCTTCTACTCTCTCCCCTTTTCTTCTTTTTCTCCTCTCAGATAACTATGCTTTATTTTAAAAAAAGGGGGGGAGCTTCACTAAAAAAATCTAACATTATTTTCAATGTTCTACTATAGTCCTCTACTTCTGCAAAGAAAAGACAGAAATGGCTTCTCGTATTTCTTATTTAGAGTCAGGTTTGATCATTTCACAGTATTCAGTTTTCTATTATTTTGTTGTTCTTTCCATTTACATTTGTTGTAGTCATTGTGCATGTTTTCCTCGTCTTGCTTATTTCACTTTGCATGAGTTAATATAAGCCTCCCTATGTTTCTCTGTGTTTATCATATTCATTTTTTCTTACAGCAGTCATATTCCATTACATTCATTGTACCACAACTTGATTAACTATGCCCCCAATCAATAGGCATGATCAAATATATAACCAGATGGGCAAAATCAGTATTTTTCTGTGTTAAAAAAAAGAATCCCTCATAATAAGTACAATTAAGTGAGAAACAAAACAAGAAAGGTCCTAGTCTTAGCAAAACCACCTCTGATCTTTCTCTTTTGAAAAAAATAAAGTGTTTTTTCCCCATCATACTAATAGTATTAAGAGAAGTTTCCATATAAGTTGCCTCAGTAACAAAAAGGTTAAATTCCATAGTAGAGAAATCTATTTTTCAACAGTATGGGAATAAGTTTGAAAGTATCTGTAAAAGATTTAGTTACAAAGTTTAAAAATTTGTTTCTAATTCTGAACAGCTGAAGAGTATAAAAGTAATTTGGTTTGAGACATCGAATACACAGTTGTTTACTCAAAAGTAAATTTTATCTTCTTTACAAAAACAAAACAAAAATATAACAACTCACCAGAATTTGCCTGGACTTGCTTAACGGTAATAGTGCGATTAAGATATTATTTAAGCTGAAAAATGTACGAAATGAGCTAATTTCTTCCAATTGACTCATGTTACTTGGGGTAGCATCCTTAACCTTTGCAGAGATTGACATAGAGCATAGCCATGTGCTAGTCATCCCTGTCAAAGACCCAATACCGGACAGATCATGCCTGGCTCTAGCCCAGTAAATCAGTTCTTAACATTGTTTTCTTAACAAATATTCTTCATTCTGCAACAAGATGGATTTCTAAGGCAGCTGAAGTACTCTACCACACATGTGGCTGCATGACACGCACAAGTAAGAGAATGGTGAACAGCAAAAATAGTACCTCTACCAGGGAGTTTTGTGGAGTTAGCTCACTACATAATTGTAAACTCATCACAAAGGATTTGTCACTGGGAGATCATTTCTTAAAGCTAGGGAAATAAAAGGGAACTAAATCAAAACTTAAACAGGTGAAATATCTTAGGGAAGGACTTTGCCCTCAGAAATGTTTTCACACTCTTCATTTTAACAATTTTCTAGTGAAATCATTTCCATTTGTAAATGGGGAAGATGAAAAGAAGATGTTATTCATCAGAATTCTTGGAAAGTTGGCAAATTAGTTGAGGATAAAATCTCTGGATATAAGGTTAGAGATTTGGCCTTTATTAGGTTAACTGACCTAAGGTCACCCCCAAAGCCAGGCAATTCAAAATTAACAATCTAGTAAACAAAAGTCTAAAAATCTACATTGGTGTTTGGGTGGTGTTACAAATGTTAAGTTTAGGGCCCTAAAGTAAGACTTTTTAAAAAAAAAAACAGCCTCCTAAGAAACACCCTCTCCATGAACCTTCTTCCCTCTCTTGACTCCAAGCCACTGCATCAGCTTCTGGTGGTGGTAGTTATGCCTTAACCCCAGTCTCACAGGTCTGAATTGTCTAGTTGGACTATATAGAGATCTAGTCAATCCTTTTGTATCATCATATACAATAACAAAAATTTCAGGAAACAACAGGGTTTCTTTATTACTAACAAGGTTGTGAATTTTTAAAAGCGCACTACTCTCAGATAAATGATTTGGATATAAATATTGTGGAAAATCTTTGAGATCTACCAAATAATCTGCGTTTTCCTTTTCTACTTTTCTATGGAGTTTGCATTTTATGGCTTGGTTAGTCTAAGCAGGCTCCATGTAATGCAATATAGCTTGAAGGACAGCAAATATATCCTGTCATGTGAACAGCAAATAGATGAAGTAAGATAATTCAATAAGCTCTTTTTTTGCTTTCTTACAGACAATCCGCTGCTTGTTGTAAGACCTCCAGGTAAGTTGCATTCCATGACAGGTGTCTTAAGATATGCCTTTGATGAAATTGAATTTAGAAATTATTAAATATTTTCTTATATCACTCTAACATGTGATTAATAGGACAATGCTAAATTTTCATCCAACACATTCTAGATGATCCAATAGTTAAATTTCACCCCATCTTCTCAACTAGAGAAGAGAAATGATTCAGGAATTCCCAGTAGTGGTAGCTGCTGGAGAAAAAAGATCCAGCCATTTGAAGACCCACATCTGGGAAAAGAGGTTCTGATTACATTAAGCTTTTTGTATTCAACATTTCAGTTCCATGAGCATTTTTTGATTAAGCTTTGACTATATGATACCACTTTCTGCTTTCTTTTCAAACAAGTCAATTAGCTCATGCTGCTAGAAGTCAAAGTCAGTTTTATGGGTCAACCTCTGAAGAGGGGCATCAGGTAATCTTCCTTACCCTCAAAAGATTAACCCCTCCCCCAGTTGTCATTCTTCCATAGTTTACTTTCTTGGGGTCTAAATTGCTTTCAAATTTCCTGGAGTCCATTGTTAAAATACATACACTCCTAAGAAATATTGAGCCTTCTTATCAGAGAGCAACCTCCTGAGAAATAGACCACTGGGGCAAAGGGAGGTGAGCCATTATGCTGAATCTAATATGATGAAAATTAACAGGAACACATTTAGGTTAAAAAAGTCAACTTCAGAAATACAAGTCAGGGGCTGAATAGCAGTTTATCTGAAAAAAAGATACGAGGATTTTAGTGGACTGTGTCAACAGTATGGGAGGACAGCCAAAAAAGCTAACACAGTATTAGGCTACATTGAGACGACAGTAAGGATCAGCCTTGCAAAAGTCCTAGTCAGACTTGAATATTGAGTTCTATTTTCATTACCATGTTTAAATAAAAGAATTAATAATGACAACAATAGTAACTAGCATTTATATACTTAGCACTTACTTTGTGCTAGGCAACATGTCAAATGCTTTAATAAATATTGTCTTATTTGATCCCCACAACAACCTTAGGAGGTGGGTGTTATTATTATCCTCATTGAGGAAACTTAAACAAACAGACATTAAGTGAGTTGCTAGCAAGCGACTGAGGGTAAATTTGAACTCAGTTCTTCCAGTACTCTATGGCTCTACTGTGTTAACAAGCTGCCCTATTGATTAGCTGGAAAGTGAGTGTCCAGAGAAGGGTGACCAGTAGGGGAAGGTCCTTCATATTATAGCATATGCAGATTAGTTGGAAAAAGCTGGAAATACTTAGCTTAGAGCTAAGAAGACTTAGGAAGCATGATGGCTATCTTTAAAGATTTGAAGGGCATCCATATTGAAAAGTGACCAGACCTATTCTGTTTGACCTCAAATGGGGACATCAGAGAGCAATGGGAGGCAAACATCCCCTGGATGTAAGGAAATACTTCCTTACAATTGTTCAAAAGTAGAAACGGTTGCCTTAGGAAGTCTCGGGTTCCTCTGGAAATCTTTAAGCAGAGCCTGAATAACCACTGTCAGGTATGATGCAGAGAGGATTCTTGTTCAATTAGACTAGATGACTTCTAGGGGGTCTCTTCCAACTAGGAGATTTTGCAAAGGATTTCATAATAGGACAGTTAGGACAACATCACAGTTTTACCCAAGACCCAAGGCTGTGCTTCCATCGAAGTCATGCTCCAAAGGATCTGGCAGAGAACAAAAGCTTTTGGTAGACGTCCATCCAAACTAGAAAGGTTCCAAGTATACACTAATGTACTGTGTATTGGTCCTCCTAGGACCAGTCTGGCTAAGTGCAAAGAGAATAATTACCATGAGCTTGGTCACCAGGTGATGGGTTTATTTGGCTACTCCAAGTCATAAAAACCACTTACTAAGTCACGGACGAGTTGGGATCTCTGCTGGCAGAAGAACATCAATAAAATAACAAATCTTTTGAAGGAAGTATTTAATTGAATCCATATGGGTCTTGTTTTAAATGAAGGGCCTCATTTCCTTATTAACTTATATCCCGGTCAATGAAAGGAGGGAGGCATGGTAGAGAGAAGAGAATGCTAGATTGGGTATCAAGTTGGAATCCTAGCTTTGTCAAGTACTACCTATGTGACCCTGAGCAAGTCATTTAATTTTGCTAGGTCTCTTCTTCTTCATTTTTAAAATGAAAGGTTTAGAGTAAATGACTTCCGAGGTTGCTTCCAGCTCTATGACTCAATGTTGCCTAAATTGGCAAAATGAATTTCAGTTGCAAATTCATAGCTACCAGTGGGAAAAAGTATGAGGGAATTTTTTTAAATTCAGGGAATAATTTATAACTTTAACTCACAGTTACAAAAAGATTACAGACTACAATTTCATGAGGAACTATAACCATTTTGCACTGTTGTTCATCATATTCTTTAGGCTAAGTGTTCTTTTAGTGACAAATAATTTAATTGATACACAATCAGAGGGAACCACTTCAAGACAATGTAAAAGGGGAGTGGATTTTTCTTCTTGTTAAAAAAAAAAAGGAAGAATCAATTAAAGTGTCTTTAGGCCACCTGTGCTGTGAAATACTAAAACTGAGTCAGAATGCCTTTTATCACCTTTTGTGTTATCAAGGTGGGGAGCCCATCTGGATTCCGTTTGCTTTCAAACGTGATCCTAGCTACACAGATTGCCATGGGAGACAATACGTGAAGCGAACATGGTACAGAAAATTTGTGGGAGTTGTTCTTTGTAATTCACTGAGGTACAAGATTTACCTCAGTGATAACCTGAAAGGTAAGGTCTCTGGGAGGGGTTTGCTGTTGATTGACACCTAATGAAGCCATTTGGATTTTTTAATGTTCTGACTCAACATTATCAATGTTATCTTGACTATACCCTGGTCCTGACTTAAGTACAATGCAGCAAAGGATAATCTGCTTGTTAGGAATGTATCCTTTTGGGGGAATCCTCTTCCCTTTTCCCCACAAGTAGAATAGTAGAAAGAATACAATGTAGGATCAGAAGGTAAGAGTTTATATCCAAACTCACCATTTCCCCCAGCCTTTAATTTCTGCTATCTTTGTTGCGTGATAGAAAGTACTCTAGATTTGGAGCCAGAAACTCCCAAGCTCAAATATTTGCTCTGTCACGTATGACCTGCATGACCTTGGTAAATCACTTAACCTCTCTGGACCTCAATTTGTTCATCTGTAAAATTAGAGGAATGGACTCAGCCTCTAAGGACCCCACCCACACAGTTTTGACTATTAATCATCTTTTTTTGTAAGCTACAAATGCTCCTAATGAAGCAACGTGGTTGTGTTTTTATGGAGTGTCTGATCTTTTCAGATACCTTCTACAGCATTGGAGATAGTTGGGGAAGAGGTGAGGACCATTGCCAGTTTGTAGATTCACACCTGGATGGAAGAACAGGTCCTCAGTCATACGTAGAAGCCCTGCCTACTGTTCAAGGTAAGAGGAGTAATAGTCACATTTGTGTTTCCCAATTGGCACATAAGTGACTTTTTGCCTACAAACAAAGCAACACTGGAGCTGGAGGGAAAGAGTAGAAGGAAGGGCCTAAATAGGGGTGTGGAACTCTTTATGACTGTGCCATTGGAGTGGCCAATTAAAGTATGTGCAGTTTTGTAGCATTTCAGGAAGCTTGCTTGGTTAAATATAGGGCATCTCAACACTTCATCCAAAATCAAATCAGTGCCAAACTAAGGGCTTCCTGTACATACAACATTGCTCCATTTTGTGCAGTATTATACACGTAAAATGTGGTCTCTGCCCTCAAAGAGCTGTCAGTCCGTCTAGGAAGAGGAGACAAAAACACATGAAAAGTCAAATATCACTCGAAGATCTAAAGGACTGTTCAAGACAATGAGGGAAAAGATGTCACCCATACACGTAGTAACTGCTATTTGAATTGAGAGGAAGGACAGCACTTTATGCTGTGGTTGTCAGGGAAGGCTATACAGAGGAGGTGGGTTTCGAGATGAGTCTCTAAAGGGTGGGTGGTATGTGACTAGGCACAAGAAAAGGAGAAAAGACTCAGGGCTTTCAGGAAGGTAGAACCATAAGCAGATGGGTACTCAGGTGGTGTTACAACTCAACGTTGTAAAGAAGGAGAGGACTGTATAAGGCAAACTAGAGATTTTAAACTGTACTATTTCATTCATGGGGGAAGGGAAAAGAGACTCATTAAATACATGAGAATTCTGGACATAATGATCATTGGAGTAATTACCAAATGTGTACCTATCAGTGTCCTTCGGAAAGAAGGCTACTTCACATTTCTTTTTTCCCCCTCAAATAATGATGTTACATTCTTCTTTCATCTTCCTGCTTTCTCACCTTTCATCTTACCTATTTCCCTTTCTTAACCATCCCAGGTTATTATCGCCAATATCGTCAGGAGCCTGTAGGATTTGGCCGAATTGGTTTTGGAACACCCTACTATTATGTGGGTTGGTATGAGTGTGGTGTCTCCATTCCAGGAAAATGGTAACCCAATCACCACTGCAAGTCTAGCTCACACCTCTCAGACCTGTCAAACTACTTTTACCAAGAGACGATGAGGTCTTAGGAAGAAAATAAAGACAGCGGTAGAGAACCTCCTAAGTTCAGGTGCTCAGAAGACCTAAAGCCCAACTCCCATGCACTTCTCACACTTAAATCTGGAAGTCTGCTTCATTACTTGACCTGGGACTGAGAACCGGATTTGCGTTTGACATTCAAATTCCACTTTGCTCCTCTGTTGTATGTGTGTGTGTGTGTGTTTTAAAAAGTCAACATATCCACAGAGAAATAATAAATAAGCAACTGAAATGGATTGCACTTTTCCTCAGTGAGACTTTCAAACTTTACTAAGCACAAAATTTGGACGTTTCATGTATCTCAGAGGAACGACCTAAGCATGCTGTGCTTGCTTAATGGAATGCTAAATAATTTTCCATTGTTATTAATGGAATGTTCTGTAACCGGCAGAGTTTTAAGCTTCAGAACTTTATTTTGTTTTTGTTTTTTTTCCTATTCAGCAATGCCGAGCTACTAAAAACACCCACTCAAGGCAACATAGTCTACATAAGCCATGCTCTGTGAGCTTGCTCCACTGCTGACTAATGCACCAAATCACATTGTAAATTCACAAGGTATATATGTGTATGTGTATGTATGTATGTGTGTGTGTATATATATATATATATATATGCATATATATATGCATATATGTGTGTGTATATATATGTCTGCAAGAATATTACTTAGAATTGCTCATTTTTTCATGTCTTCTAGATAAATGTTTTGAATTTTTGTGCAAAAGGTGCTGTTTATTAACAGGTTTTTTAAAAAAATGTTTCCATGGATATGTACTATGCATAATATAACAACCATAGAAAGTACTGTTCCATTTACAAATACTGTTAAACATCAGCAATCATCTGCACGAGTACCATATTCATTAATGTTTCAAAGAGTCATCTTGATTTCTGGCCCCAAACTAAATGTCTCAGTCCAGTTTGGTTTTCTTATTTTTTCATTTTTGTCACTTCCCTCGATATTTAATTCTTGAACCTGAGGCTTTTTGTTTCTCTGTGATACAGCATGAGTTCTTTTTAAAGATACACTAACAATTTTTAACTTAAAAAAACCCCATATACTTGTGAATGTGCTCATTCCATCAGCCTCTGTCATAAAGATCCATTTAAGGAGGACAGATTGCATTGTTGGCATAATGAATATTGTATCATTTCAGTCATTCAACTAGTTCAAAATCCACCTAATTATACTACCATCAGAAAGATTCCATCATACTGTGGACAGAGGGAAGCACTGTCCTGGAATCCCTAAGCTTTACCTTTACATACCACAGTGGTCTAAATATAATCCATACTTCCTCCTTTCCACAACTGGCTTGTATAAAACCTGAGTGTAGCCTCTTAGTTATTTTCAATATACACCTATACATTTTCCCTTCAAAGGAATTTCACTATAAGGGTGGAGCCATATATTTGGGGGTAGCCAGTTTGGAATCAATAGGATGAATTAATAGCATAATAAACCCAAGTACCTAAATAAAATAATCACCATTTTCAGCATTAATGATGTGGATTATAGGGTCTCTGTAGATGAATATAATAAAGTGAAACCTGGCACACCTAGAAGATTTTAGCCTTGAAAGCAAAACTTGCTGGGGGAATTGGGGAACTCTGTAGCATCTATGTATTAAAGCTTAATAGTGACAATGAAACCCTGAAGAGCAATGATAATAAAAATGGCTCACATTTACACAATGCCTTACGGTTTACAAAGTTCATTGCATGAGTACAGTCTAATGTGAATGGTCCATTTTTAACTGAATGACAAGGATTAAACCTCTGCATCTTATATTTTCCTGAAATGCTTTTTCCCTACTTCAGTGTGAAGCAACAGTAAATAAGATGCAAGTCTGGGAAAATAAGAGAGTACTACTATCTGGAAAAGGATGAGCTGATAGGACGTTCATATGACATTAACAATATAATTTACAAACCCAAGGGAAAGACTTTTAAAGTTGCTTTTAGATCCTTATAAATATATGGGAAGGGAGTGATTTAAAAACTAAAAGTAACTACAACAATGTCTAAAAGGAGTATTTCATTTAAAGAGATGAAGGTTTAAATACCTTTAAGCATTTTACTTTACAATGCTAAGACAAATGATAGGATCTTTAGGAAACAATGAACTTTTTCTAACAAGCCTATAACATGATTCCTTTTAGATAAAAACAAACCAAAACAAAACTGTCCAGTTTGTTGGTATCCAATAGTCTGACACTGGAAAACATATGACCAGTGCTACAATGTCATACTTATGTAGGAGTGTATCTTGCTAGATTCTCTTGAATGAACTGAGAAGGATTCAAGTGTAGATTTCTTGACAATGTCCTGAGATTCAAATTACTTATTGGGATTTACACGTGACAAGATGAGTGCTGACTGACTTCAGGTTCTTGCATTGGGTTGGGGTTTCCTTTGGTGAGGAGGCAGAAAGAGCAGTAGGGGCAATGTTCTTAGTACAAATTCAGAAGTGAGGTGTTAATTCGGCCTTTTGAATACTATAAGGACCTCAAATCCATAGGGATGACTTAGACCTGAAGGGTAAACTATCCATTTGCACTTGTCATTCATTCATTCATTCATTCATTCATTCATTCATTCATTCATTCATCAAACACTCACAAAGCACTAAACACACACACACATATATATATACATATATACACACACATATATACAGACATATTTTTGTATATGTCTGTATATATGTGTGTGTGTATACACACACACACACACACATATATATATACATATATATACATACATATATATATATACATACATACATATATATATATATATATATAAAAATTCTGTGCTGGTGAATGAGGATACAAATCAGATATTATATAAATCCTGCTCTCAAAATATTAATGGGAAGAAAAATAGGTAAAAGTCACTGTGTCACAAGGCAGAATGAGATAAAGCACCAAAGAGATGTCCAGGCAAAGTACTATGAGAAATCTGAGAAGGGAAAGGGAGAACGGGCATTTACGAAGCACCAGTGCTGAGGGCTTTACAGTTATTTACACCGGCCAGGCACAGTGCTAAGTGTTTTACAAGTTTTATCTCATTTGATTCTCACAACAACCATGGGAGGTAGGTATTATTAATAGCCTCATTTTACAGTTGAGGAAACTGAGGCAGGCAGAGGTTAAGTGCAAGGTCCCATAGCTACTATGTATCTAAGGCCATTTTTGAATTAGGTCTTCCTGACTCCAGACCTGGTGTTCTATCCAGTGTTTCATCTAGCTCCCATGAGATAAGCACACGGGGGTGAATGGGTAAAAAGGGGATTGTCAAAGATTTCATGAAGGAGGTTTTAGGTCTTGAAAGGCGGGCATGGCTTCAATACATGAGGGTAAGTGGGGGTTGGGGAGGGCAGAGGAGGGAGGCTATCAGAGCATGTGGGAATGGTATGAACAAAGGCTTGGAGATGGGCATGGGGAACAGAGACTTCTTTGGGGCCTTTCTATGCTCTTTTACCCAGACACCATTTTCTTCAAATCCAGAGCAATTTGTGCCTTGGGGAAGGAAAAATGAACAGCTAATGGATACTTAGTTTCTTGTCTTGAGTAGAATTTAAGAAAACTTGTGTATAAAATCTTCAAACTGCTGATACTGTTAGACTAAACTGAATCCAAATACACAGAGACCATTTGACCAACCTTGTCTTCCAAAGGAACAAAAATAATTATTCCATTACCACTGTATATCCGAGATCTGATCAATTTCAGGCCAAGGTGAATCCTGGAGTTGAAAAACAAATTCTTTCCTGCAAAAGAATCAGGCAAAATAATAACCTGAACCACTAAAATCCAAGGATTACAGTGTTGACCACCTCCTTTTCCTGGACTCTCTCTTCTTTTCTATTTGTTTCTCCTACATTTCTTGCCATTTCATCCCAGTCTCCTTTTCTGATCATCATCTACCACTTATGAGTGCATCTCTGTCTTAGGCCCTCTTCTCTCACTACACCTTTTCTCTTAGTGATCTCATCATTTCCTCCTGGATTTAACTATTACCTACATGCAGGTAATAGATCTAGAAATCCAGTCCTAATCTAGCTGTTGGATTTCATATTGGACATGATCAGTGAGATATATCATAGGCATCTCATTTAGTCAGTGATCAGGCATTTACTAATCATTCATTTTGTCCTAGGTACTGTTTGTTTGTCCTTCATTTTCAAAGAGGACCAATGACAGCACAGGTGATATCTTGACTTGTGCGTGAATTAGATTTAAGCGAAGCAGAGTTGTGCAGAGTTGACAGCCTCCCTCTCTCTTCCAGAGTCATTGTTGTCCAGTGGCAAGACAAAAGTCAGGATGACTGGCAAGGGCCTGGAATGCATTAGATGACCGTGATGTCTTCAATATCTGACCAAACTCCAAGTGCTCCACAGTGCCTGTTTAAGCTGCCTTCATGGCCATTGGAACAAATTGTTCTCATCAGCCCATTCTGTTGGGGGAAGTCTTCACCTCCAATGGGTTTGTGGGCTATTGGTTACCCTCAATTTGGTTTAGACTGTCTGCTGAGATAGTTTACTAGGGTATGGTCACTTTGCATGCTACAGCTTCTTGGGGCCACAAGGAAGAGTTGAATGCAAAGTGGACACCAGAAGTTGTTAAGCAACCCTGAAAAGGGCTTGGCAAGCCCTCATGCCAGAACCACTAGTCCTCCTTGAATACCCCATACACCCCTCTAAGCACTGGGGATACAAAGAAAAGCAAAAACATGATCTCTACCCTCATTGGAACTCAACATGTACAAAATAGGTCATATGATCACATGTTAGATATACTACAGAGGAGATTCATGCATAGGTTGGACTAAACTGCTGCTAGAATACATTCCAGCTCTCAGGTTGGTTTATTTTATTCAAAGGTTTATTTTCTCTTTGGGTAGAATTAGTGAGAAGCCATTGCAATCTTTTGTTCCCTCCCCTGTTCTCTTTCCTTTTCTTCTCCTACCTCCTCTCTCTACTCTGTCTCCCAAGTCTGACCTATACCAGGCTGTTTTACCCATAAACTATGAATCCCTTAGATTAACATGTTTGGGCTTAGGGAATGGTAAGAAGAGGAAAACTCTCAAATTATAATATATCTGCTAAAGTCCCTTTCTGACTATCACCTCCTTGTGATAATCTTGGTCTTTGTTGATGAGTTTTGAGGTACTAGGGAATCTCTTTTTGACTAAGTCTCTTGCAAGCATGGTGGTATCACAGCATGTTACAGTATTTGGAAAAGTTAACATCTTTCATTTATCTTTTGGTTAAAGAAACAATTCTAGCTCTTACCCAGATGTATTTGTAATCTAACCCTTCTTTTTTTGCCATTTTCTTGCATTAACTACATGGCACAGTCATGACCCTCAGAGTAGGAAGATGAAGGATCTGAAGACAAATCAGGTCAAAATGGGCTTAGTGATCTTAGATATGGGGGGAAATATAAAATAGTTGGGACACTAATTTATTGGTGGAACTATGAACTGATCCAACCATTTTGGAGAGCAATCTGGAATTATGCCCAACTAGTTACTAAACTGCTTATCCTTTGATCCAGCAATACCACTACTAGGTCTGTTTCCCAAGATGACTAGGGAAAAAGGAAAAGAACATATATGTTCTAAGATATTTATAGCAGCTTTCTTTGTGGTGGTAAAGAACTAGAAATTGAGGGGGATGCCCATCAATTGGGGAATGGCTGAACAAGTTACAGTAAATGGAAACATCCAGCATTCCTATAACATGTTACAGGTTTTAGATGGTTCAAAACATTCCCTATAGAATGTATCCATTTTACAATTAAAGAAGAGAAATACATTTACCAAGAAATAAACTGACTTCTGGGCATGTAGCATGTGAAGATTAAGACAACAATTCTCAGTTTAGCTAATAATTCTTAGTTAAACTGTGGCAGAATCCAAGGAACACCAACTAAGAGTGAAGGTATATTTTGTTTTAAATCTCAATTTTAAATTTCTGTAAAACCTTTCAATTCATACGGCACAATAGCTAAAATTTCCAGTGTATCTTATTGCAATGTCTTCACTATTTGGAGTCTACCCAATATAAGGTATTATTTTTTTCCTCTGTTTTTTTATACTGTTGAGCTGTCATAGAGCAATCAAGCTTTTTTCACACCGAGGAAGCAAATGGATTTTATTTCCCCTCAGATTAAAGGATGTTTGTGATCAATGTTATTTCATATGTCAAAAAATAAAGACTGCATTCATTCATTCATACCAATATATTTAAAAAAAAATAGATGCCTTCTTTTCATTTCCAGAGTTCTATTCATAGAACTAGAAAACATCCTCTGTGTATGCTGGTTGTTATTTCTTCTTCTCTATTCTAGATAAAAAATGGGAATACTAGTTAGCAAAACAGTTGCCTTTCAGAACCTGGTTCATTGACAGCATTTGGATCAGAAAGAGAAGGGAAATCCTCAAAAGCATTGGGGAGGCAAATTTTCATGGAAATCTAAAGAATATGGGTGGTGATTTGGGAGATCCAAGAATCAGACCATGGCTAGAGGGTGGAAAAAACTGAAGCAACACGGCCCTTCCCAAGAACTGTTGACTTATGGCAGTAGGGTAGCACCTGGAATAATAGCTAACATTTATGTGGGACTTTAAGGTTTGCAAAGTTTTAGTATCCTCATTTTAATATAAGAAAAGTAAGACTTAAAGAGAT